AATTTCAGCTTCCTATAAATCATCTACGACATTTCTATGTGCCTGGTTATAGTTCTCTGTTGGAACTAAGGCTCAACTTTTTTCAGTTGGTCTTAAACCAACGCGTGATTCCCTCCTTTTTTTTAGGGCCACATAAAAAACATAGGTGGATGGTGAGCACCCTTATGGTGACTGGTTCTGGAGGATAAGGTAAATTTCACCCGCCTGCCCATCCAAAGCGAGTTTTAAGAGGATTTTTCTTATCTTTATAACAATCTGGATTTGTTGACAAGAAAATAAACATAAAAAATATGAGTCCTGTCCGGAGAACATTAGGAGGAAAAAAAGTTCAACAGAAAAGCAAAACAAAAAACATACGGAAACAATTTTTGAGACATTTCCGGTTGGTAAGGTGCTGTGTCCTTAATAGCGGATGGAACGCATACTTGGAGCAAAAAATAATAAGAACTATATAAATTTCTGTGATGCTGTTTTTGTACTAGTGTGATTAAATGACAAAATAATCTTGGACAAGACAATTAATAAAAAAAACTCGAAAAATAAAACATTTATTTGATGTGTTTGTTAACTTAATACAATCATCTCACATTATTTGACCAATAGAACAATTAAAAAAAAATTTAGAAAAGTTTAACATTTTTTGTGTGTGTTAATACACCTTATCCTTAAACAAAAAAACATATTATAAAACTCAAAATCAAATTGAAACATTTTTTTGTGTGTGTGTTTAATAACAAACGCATCTTGACAAGAAATTTTTTTACAAAAAAAAATCAAATCAAAAGATAAATACAATTTTCTTGTGTGTGAGTTAATACACAAATCTAGGCATGAAAATTTTTAAAAATATAAATGTAACATTTTCTTGTGTGTATGTTAATACACATATCTTGACAAAAAAATAAAACAAATCTCAAAAATTTAACAGTTTCTTTTGTGTGTGTTAATATACATTTCTTGACAAGTAAATTAAAAAAAAAACTCTAAAATTTAACATTTTCTTGTGTGTTTGTTAAAACACACATCTTTGCAAGAAAATAAAAAATTTAGTCCTGAAAACTTAAGAAGAAAAAATTCGCAGAAAGAAACTCAGAAATTTAACATTTTCGTGTGTGTATTAAAATAAACACATCTTGGCAAGAAAATAAAAAAACTTTAAAATTTATTATTTTTGTGTGTATCTGTTAATATACATATCTTGACAAGAAGATTAAAAAAACTTCAAACATATAACATTTTCTTTTGTGTGTGTGTTAATACACACATCTAGGCAAAAAATAAAAACACTTCAAAATTTAATATTTTTTTTGTGTGTGTTAATACACATATCTTGACAAGAATATGAAAAAAACATCGAAAATATAACAATTTCTTGTGTGTGTGTTAATACACACATTTTGGCAAAAAAATTTTAAAAATCGCAAATTTAACACACACACATCTTGGCAAGAAAATAAAAACTTGAAAATTTAACATTTTTTTTGTGTGTTAATACACGTATCTTGACTAGAAAAATAAAATAAAAAGGCAAAAATTTAACATTTTCTTGTGTGTGTGTGTTAATACACATATTTTGGCAAGAAAATAAAAAATTCGCAGATTTAACATTTTTTGTGTGTGTGTTAATAGACACATCTTGGCAAGAAAACAAAAAAACTTGAAAATTTAACATTTTTTTGTGTGTGTTAATACACGTATCTTGACTAGAAAAATAAAATAAAATCTTAAAAATTTAAAATTTTCTTGTGTGTGTGTTAATACACACATCTTGGCAAAAAATATTAAAAAACTAATTAATTAACATTTTTTGTGTGTGTTTGTACACATGTTTTGATAAGAAAACTAAAAAAAATTCGAAAATTTAATAATTTCTTGTGTGTGAGTTAATACACACATCTTGGCAAGAAAATTTTTAAAAATATAAATTTAACATCTTTTGTGTGTGTTAATATATATATCATGACAAGAAAATTAAAAATCAAAAATTTTAATATTTTCTCGTGTGTGTGTGTTAATACACATATCTTCACAAGAAAATAAAATAATTTTCCTACAAACTTGAAGGGGAAATTCCCTGAAAGAACCTCAAAAATTTAATCGTTTTTTGTGTGTGTATTAATACAAATATGTTGATAAGAAAATTTTAAAAAAACTTAAAAATTTAATATTTCCTTGTGTGTGTGTTAAAATACATATCTTGACTTTATTCTCTAATATACTCCTTAGGCATCCACTCAGGAGGAAAGAGATCATTATTGCCACTGAGACCTAACAAAGAAAATAATACGCTCGAAATTTTTTATAATTTCAAAAAACTGGAACGATGGTCCACTAACATTTTATATTCTCCCCGTTTTCGTGAATAACCCATCAACAATCTACATTTATGAATGTTGTATATTACATAATAAAAGTCCCAGTAAAAAAAAAACAACAGAGTTAGTCGTTGAATTAGTTAATTCGTAATAAATAATGTATGAGAAAGCTCTTATTTTCATAATTTTATTAACGAGTAGACAATAAAGATGTGGCAACACCTCACCAAATTACTTATTGCTTAAATATAGATATGTACTCCTTCAACATGTAAAGTCAAACCATGAAAGTCAGAATATATTTCCTATATATAAAAAAAACAAACTCAGTTCAAAAAAAAAATTCCATATGCTTGGTTGATTGCTTAGAATTTAGCGGTCGCTTATAATACTCAAATATCAAATAAACCAATTGACACTTTGGTATATAATGGCTTGAGGAAATTTTTAAAAAAAATCGTTTTATATTTGTCAGATCGAATTTATGAGAACAAATAGATTACTCCGCGTCACGGGAGACGTATTGGAATAATTTAGGATTTGTCAACATTTTAAACAATCACAAATGATAATCTTTTATATTTCTTGAAACTAATCACTTTTTTGAGATTTAAAAAAAACAACCTTCTTAAAATCCATTTCCCAACAGCGGGAATGCCCGAGACTTTTTTCAACGCGGATGATGGATTGCTCACGATCTGTGCAAATTCGCAATAACAACGGGATCCTTTTCCAAGTACAGTTTCCAAAGGCACGAAAAGTTTTTACAGAAAAATGTGTTTTCCAATCGTGGTTGTCCAATTTCAAATGTTTTCGCTTTCCGCAAAACAATGGGAACACGGCACGTTCGATAGAGTTTCAGATGCAAACATATTAGGTACCAAAGGAGCACTATTAACATTGCTCTTCCGGGTGTTTTGCAGCAATTTTTTAAACGTCAAGTAGTATAGGAGTTCTCCGCTTATTTCGGAATCTCTTGGTGGTCTCATCATCTGCTAAAGAAGCAGTTTTTCGTTGTCCTCAAAGTTTTTTCTTAGCTTTGGTTGGGCCTTTCTTCAATAATTTGCAAAAAACGAAAAAACAAGAGAAATGACCAACTTTTGTGGCTTACTCGGATTCTTACGTTTTTCCTAATTTAAAAAAACGATTTGGCTAAAGATCAAAAAAAAAAAAAAAACTCTGTGGAAACCAAGTTGAAAGGGTCATAAAAAAACATCAAAAGCCAGCGCGACAACACAAAATTTTTACCACGAAAACTGAACAGGAGGAGGAACAGTCAATCATATGGTAAGTTAGCAGTGTTTTGATACTCTTCTATGCCTGATGGATGTTTTGGGTTTACAAAAAAAACTGACATTATGAAGATAAAAAGGGGAACTATGTAAAACACAAATCACCCCACTTGAAACATTTACGGAATAGTAAAAAAAAAAAAAAACACGTTATTATTTTCTACGTCTAAATAAAGAAAACCAAAAAAAAAACATTTTAGGAGCGATTCAAAAATTAAGGGTTAAAAAAACGGAAGAAAAAAAAACTCATATAACGAAAAAACGATTTTTTGGATTCTTATCAGAGGTTTATTCTAAAAAAAGATCTCTAAGCTCATATCTTAAAAAATGGGAACCAATTGCACAATATAAAAAACAGCCATCAGTAAAAAACATCGACAACAGAATTCAAGGGAAATTGGTATAATAATCAAGGCAGATAGGGCATAAATCAACTAAAAGAAAAGCTCAACGGTATTGCTTAATTTTTGGGATAAATATAGGGTATGTGGAGCAATAAAAACCTTATCTATAGAGAGTGTGTATATGATATGTCTCATATCAGAAGTTGGGAGGGACCTTGACTAATATATAAGAAACTCGGGACAATCTATTCGTTGTCAATTGGTTTTGTGTTGAAAGCTCAGGAAACTTAACATGGTATTAAAGCCTGATCTGCACACTTTCGTAACTCTGACTCAAAAGTAGTTTGATTATGGTTTATTTCAAACCCAAAATGGCATTGCCTCTTTGACCTGAAATTGATGGTCAAGATTAAAGTTTCATTTTACAGTATTTAGGCATTTATAAAATATACTTTTGCTGTGAAGTTGGAAATTATAATCGATAAATATTTCTGAATTAAACTTTATCATCGTTAATAAATAATTTATTCTTGTATTCCAAAATAGATTGTTTTTAAAATCGTAATTTCGTACCTTCAAATTATAATTATTATTATTATTATAACTTATTTTAAAACACGAAGCCAAAAGTCTCCAAAAATGTTATAGAGATTGTGATTTTGCTAATATATGACGTTTGTTTTATGGAAAGTAACATATCCAAAAATCTTTATTGTGCTTTACAGCTTGGTTCAAATTTTTAATTTCTATGACTTATTTTATTGGATTCTGAATAAATTTTAATTATAATTAAATGATCGAAACCCATAGATTATGTGAACTCTACCATATTAATAATAAATTGTATGTGGCAAATTTTAACATCTAGTTATATCATATAGTCTCCCACATTCGTTTGCTAACACTAGTTACGGCTAACACATGGGGAGATTGGCATTTAGCTATTGACATTTTATTATACATTAGCTGGACTGAAACCAAAAATCAGAGGCTCTTTTAGTAGTACGTTTGGCAAGTCCTCAATACTAGTTGTTTCTATTTCTTTTTAATATTCACAACGAAATTTTAGTTTCTTTGAAAATGTAATGATTATTTTATATAGACAATAAATTCAATGATTCGATCCCATCAACTGAAAATAGCTAAACAAATAAAATACACAACTGACATATAAATTTGGTACAGCAGCTTAACAACAACCGGATAAATTAGTAAAAGTGGAAATCAAATTCTCAAATACATGAACTCTTAGAATTGATTAAGAAGAGAGGAGGTCCAGACCACAAATATAGTATATGTAAGCAAATGGGGTGGCACACGGTCGACGCTCCCGGAGGATGAGCCGGGCCCAGTGGAAGGGTGGTCTTGGAACCACCTCCAACTCCTGCGCATGGATGAGGAAGTCCCGTTAAGAGAGATTAAACAATTATGAAGTGTAGCTTGGTTTTAGTGTTGAAAGGAGTTTGTACCTGAACGACCACCTGGTGATGAGGATGGGGTTAGTGCCACACCTGGGTTCTCCTCCGTCGGAGAAAGTGCGGGAAGAGGTGCTGTCGGCCCAGTGGCCACTAATATACAAATACTGTTGTGAGTGAGACTATATCTGAACACGTAACATAAATACTTATAACTTAGGTTACCGTTGCATTGTGTGAGGGGAGGCGCCTGAATGTTGCAGACGTTGGGGAGCTGCAAGGCCTGTGTGCGATTAATGTTAAGGCCGATGTTAGGGATTGGACTGTTTACGGCAGAGCAGATGACACTGCGGCGAAGATTTGATGACAGAGTCGAGCTGAGAGCAGCAAGTCTGTGAGGGAGTGGTTGAGTTTCCGGTGATGTAGGTGAGGCACGGAGAAAGGGTGGTCAGTGTGCTCACGCATGACCCGCTCGGCTGTGATTTTTGATACGCCCAATAGAGCCGCCACGAGGGCTACCAATGTGATAGCGTAGATACTTGTATACCCCATAACTTGAGTTATTATTCTTCAACTATTGTATGTTTGCTTTGGTTTAGTTATAGGAGGAATTGGTCAGAAAATGTCAAAGAGACTGGTATTGTTGGATGACCTACTTTACGTAGTTTATGGTTATCATAACCAATATGTTCTAGATATATATACCCAAGAACCATTAAACTTAATCTGAGTAATAATATTGTTTAAACGCCACATACACATGCGGTCATATATTTTTGCATGCTAGCTCTATTTTACGATTGGAATAAAGATTGTTAAATCCTAAGTACCAAAATTAATAGGAGTGTACCAAACTCACCTACTAGCTCTTGGTTGATTAAATAAAAAAAGACATTGTGTGTTGATCATAAGGAGATTGAGAGATGATTATAGATTAGTTGGAAGTTGTTGAACTCCAATGCACCCACTTAAATATGTATATATATATGTATATATATACAATTAAAATTATGACTCGAGCCATCTTCACCTGAGAATTAACCAAGCCAAAAATGGAAGGCTTAACACTGATAGTAGTGGTGATGTCAAGCTTAATGTTGGGAGTGAAAGGTCAGCAGATAATTAGCACCCCATGCACCTCCTCCATGATCTCTACCTTCACTCCATGTCTCAACTTCATCACCGGAAGCAGCGGCGGCTCCGTCACTCCCACTGCCGGCTGCTGCGACTCCTTGAAGTCGTTGACCAACACTGGCATGGAATGTGCTTGCCTCATCCTCACCGCTAATGTCCCGCTGCCTACTGGCTTCATCAATCGGACTCTCTCGCTTGCTCTCCCTCGTGCCTGCAAAATGAGCGGTGGTGTACCTGTTCAGTGTCAAGGTTTTAGCTTTACTCTATTTACTTATTTATGAACTTCTCAATATTAATCCCATGATTAATGACTCAATTTGCTTAATTTACAGCGGCGGGGACTCCTCTGCCAGCGCCAGGTTTAAAATGAAAATCCGCTCATTATTATTGTATTGTACATTTATATATGATTCAGTAGCTTTTCATTACCCTTTATTTAACTAATATGTTGGGCAGGTCCGGTTCCATTTTTGCTGGCTCCACCACCGCCTATGTCTGCTTTTAGCCCCGGCTGTGAGTAATTAATCAACACAATCATGTTATGATGTATTTTTTAGTCATGGTTTGAGTTTGATTTTGGACTCATCTGATTAGCGTCCAAGGCGGCGGCGACAGCACGGCGCTGGCGCCGGATGCTCCTGCGGATGGACCGATGGGCCCACAGCCACACCAAGAATTCGACCGGTGGTTCAGCCCTCGCAACCCACCAGCCTCGCTCAATATTCTACTTCTCCATTTCTTCCTTGCTTTTCTCTCTCTTGGCTCTTCTCACTTTGTTGACTTTGTAAGCCATTCGGCGCGTCTCCATATTCAAAATTGTTACCCTTATGTATCTGTGTTGCCATGTACTTTTATTACGATTCATCGTCACATATTATTCGCTATTTCATCTCAAGTTTTACGTAACTCCCTCATTTTTTAATTTGTCAATAACAAAAACATCTATCGAGGCCTCCTCACCTTGCACTTAGTACTTATCATGTCTAATCTGTACAGATTATTATTTACCGTTGCCGCCATTCTTATGAATTCTGAACAAAATGCCAGCGTTTCTGAGTCCAATTACTTAGGAAGTTAAAGAATACAATGAAACAAAGCACCTGCTCTCCAAAAGAAAGGGATTCTTAGACTTTGTCCATATTCTATTAAAGAAACAAAAAAAAAACCAACAAATAGATTACAACACATACGACGAGAGAGAAGGGTCTTGTCTCGACTATCGTAATAACTACACGGCAAGAAAGAAACTACACTTTTCCTATTGAACATCATCTCCTTTATACTATTCAAATAACTCAAACATGTAAAACAGTTTTTGGATTTAAAAAAAAAAATCTACGATTTACGTTACCGCGATTTTATTTGTGCCTTGAGATAAAAAGGCAAAATCACATGGGCTGTTTCAAGCCTCTTCAAGCGCTTTTTTGATGTCTTTCTGCTCACACAACACATGATTCCGAATCACGACAATGACAATATATATAATACATAAGACGATCGATTTGGAGAGGTAAAGAATGCGTACCTCGATTGATAGCGGTGTAACCATGGTTCCGTAACGATCAATGACTAGGCCATCTTTGCCGACCAAGAACTTGGTGAAGTTCCACTTAATTCTGGAACCCAGAAAAGTGGGTTTACTTGCCTTGAGGAACTTGTAGAGTGGTGCTGCGTTTTGACCGTTTACGCGTACCTAATCCCACATTTCACAGTTGGTCATATACACATAATCAACTGCTAAGTGCTGGATCACCATACGGATTACACTTGGTCTAGACATACCAAAAACAAGTTCATAGAGCTACCCATCATAACAAGTAACTCATTTCAAGCGTCTTGATCTAGCCTAAACCACTAGAAGAAAGAAAGGATTAGCTTATAGCCATACCTCCTTTTGGAAAACAGGGTATTCCGCCTTAAACCGTGTACAAGCAAATTCATGAGCCTCTTGACTGGAGCGGGGCTCCTGGTAAAGAAACTGGTTGCAAGGGAATGCCAATATCTCAAACCCTGATATAATGGCAATAAACATAAGAGAGCAATGCATGAACGAACTTGCAACTGCATTAGCAATAAGCCCTAAACTAATTATTTTTTTTTAAAAAGAAGACCTTGGTCCTTGTATTTCTGGTAAAGTTCGGTGAGCTGGGAATAATTGGTTTCGGTGAAACCGCTGTTTGCACAAACCATATGTGAAATCATTATCAATAAGAAGGAAAACGCGTAATTTGTAATAAATAAAAAGAGACGAACCATTTGGAAGCGACATTGACGACGAGGAGGACTTTCCCTTGGTAAATGCTCAAATTCACGTCCTTGCCGGAGCTATCCTGTGTTTCCCAGGAAACAATAATCAGAGAGACGATTCAATCGAAACACAAGACAAGTTTTTTTCTTTTTACCTTTACGGTGAATTGATGGACGGATCTCTCGGGAACCGAAACAGAAGCACCCATCTCTCTCAATCAATCTCTCTCTCTCTCTCTAAATAAAAAGAAAAGGGACTTTCTCAGGAGCAAGGAACAACTTTATTTATTTTTTAATTTTTAACCTTTGGTTTTTAAGCGCGTGCGTTCGTGTGTGGACTCTGTTTCTTCCTTCCTCTTTTTTTCCTTTCCAGTCTTCTTCTCTCGCTGTCTGCTTAGTGCTTAGTGCTTAGTGCTTAGTGCTAACATGTCTGACATGAGAGCATTCACATTGAACAAATGTTTTGCCTTTTTTAGAAATAATCCAACTCAAGTATTCTCAACAAAGAGATGTAAGCCTCTTTCACTTATTCACATTATTCTTATTCATGTGCAACGATATCTACCCAATCAATTCCACAGGCGTCAAAGTAAACACTATTCATTCAATTGGAATATAATTATTCTTAAGAGAATGAAGAATATACATCATACACTCCAAGGTCAAAAACCCACATAACCAAATAATGTTGACAACAACCAAAAAATAACAGTAAAGAAAGCAAAGGAGAGCACAAAGATATTAAACTCTTCTCAATCTCTACAACTCGCCTCTTTTTTCTCCCATCTTCTCACTCTCTCTGCTTTGCATGAGGTTCTGATTCCAAAAGAAACATCATATCATATGTACACACTCACTTCTTCATCATATCACGTTTTCCTCTCAACAACCCTTTACTTCCATTGCTAGCAATTCTCTTTTCTAAATTAGAGCCACATCACCTTGGTGTTTTTGCTACTAGCTTCACACCACCCTCCTCTTTACTACTTTCCGTCTCTGTCTCTCAAGTTTCTCTAGTCACCTCTCTGATGCCACATGCCTGGATCTGCGAATCAACAAATGATATTCGGGTTTATGTCCCATTAATCTTTTACTCCACCATTAAATGCCAAATAAACCTCAAATGTCAGAAGAGACATATACTACGTACGATTCCAGTAAACATAGAAATATCATGGCTCATATCATATCCCAGGAATTAGAATGTTATGTATGGCTCACTAGAAAATGAGTAAATTATTGGCCTTTCATGACTCTTAAGGTTGTTCATTCCGAGCAAGAGTGGATTTCCAGAAAAGCAATTAAAGAGGCCAAGGAGCATAAACGTCTAACTTCCTTACCTCTCATTCCAACTGGAACAGGTCCTTCAGAATGCGGCTTAGGGTGAAAAGAGTGTCTGTTGTTTACGCACGAGGAGGATGATTCCACCGGTGGTTTTGGAACCTTCCAGACTCACGTGGAGGGCCACCATTGTATGAACTGGATGGATATGGGCCTTTGTGTTTGTCTTGATATCTGGAACCTGCGAGATAATCATATCAGAATTCCCATTACCGCATCATCAGACGGCACTTATGATTGTTGTCAGGCATCTGTGTGCCCATATATATATATATATGCATATGTATGTCTAATGAACAGACACTGGAGGTAAAAAGCCTAACCGTAAGAAGAAGATGGTGGATATCTCCAATTATCTCGGTTCTCGTATGGTGCATGCCTCATTCTCTCATGGTTATCATGAAAATTCCTTTCATCACAACTCAGCAGATAATGAGATCTGTGGGAATACGATGGACCATCCCTACGCGACTTCGTATGGTGGTCCAGCTCTGTATATGAGTATTGATGCTGTGGTGGAGGAGGAGGGGGATGTGGATGAGATGGATAAGGCCTAGGCTGGAAATTAGAACCATCTGCCTGTGGCATGCTATTCGTCAGTTGTACACCGGAACTATAAGATGACTCCTGGCCTTGATAATGCATTGTGTTTCCAGCCAATGGCGGATTCATCTTTGAGGACCAGCCTGATGATCTCCCTGCATATTAATCAGAAACAATAGGATAAGTGACCATATCAAGAATTATCATCATGTATATAGTAAAAGGTTCCTTAAACAAGAAAAGGGACGTACATGCATATTGGGATATCCACCACTGTCAAAGCCAGTTGAGTAGGAATCAGACATGGCACACTGAGCTTGCTGTGAAGTGGGAGCTGGTGGGGGCGGGGGAGGTGGTGGCGAAGAAGATGGCAGTGGTGGAGAAGACAAGGACACATGCTGATGTGAAATGCCAGAGACAGTCGGATGCTGTTGTCTAGGCTGACAATTGGTAGCCGTTATTGTATTATCGGCTTGGCCAGTGAGCGTGCAGTTTCCAGTTTCCCAGGGAGGAGCCACATCTTCCATTTCAAGCTCGCCATCAACATCTTCCAGTATAAGCGTATGCCTTTCAGCAGTCGAGGACGAGACATTTTCTTCAAGGATTCTGGATTCATGTTCAGGGGTGACAGACTCAAAATCCCCTCCATCCGAGTCACTCTCTCCGTCCTCATCCTCAAGCATTACGGGCATGCAAAATCCAGGGAGCTGGAGAGTTGAATTACTAACATGCAAGATGAATTAGGTTGACGAATCAGGAGACGAGGACAAAATTATGAATTCAAAGGACCCAAAATCTTACCTTCCATATTCATCCACCAGCATTTCCTCCATATCTCTCACAGGATCATCCAACGACCTCTCTGTTCTAGCTGAGCGCCGGGAATAGAGGCAAGCAGGAACTATACTATGTGAATCAAGTTCTCTTATATGCTGCCGAACAATTGAATCCGGCAGGATCGTCTTTCAAGCCAAGCCTTAAAACCTATAATTAGCAGAAAGGTTGAGAAACAACAATGATACGTGAGAGCTAACAATTTTTGTTGCACACCTTTAAGCACTGTCTCCGATTTTCTTGTGTGGTAGCTCCAGCAGGGACAGCAGCGGCTAATAGGCGAGGTAAAATTACTTGAATGGCTGAAAGATAAACACAACCAGCATCACTGGAAAAGATGGGCAGTATTCAATGGTCAACTCTAAGGTCAGAACTTCGCTGGTGAAGCTTAACGAAAGACACTGCATATGATTACCTTTTAGACCTTTGGAGTATTGAGCAATAGAATCCACAAGGAAAAATAAGTCCACCCTCCTCTGTAAATTTGACTCGCTTTCCAAGTATGGGCTAAAATCTCCATTGCCTTGTTCAGTAAGTTCATCAAGACTTATTAACAACGGATAATGCAAACAAGAATGCTTTCACAAAACACACCAAACATACAAAAATGGCCATCTTTCTACATCAACTAAGCAAATCCAAATACAAGTCAAATCATCTGTTGTACCCTGCCTCGGGTGGCTGTCAACAGCATCCTACGAAGCACATAAAACAATAGCATATGATTCTCAGAACAACAGCCGTCATTCAGTTCCCATGGCCTTCACATAAAACTATGATTGATTAAAATGATTATGTGGTCTCTTCTTCTACGTCGAAGCTACGTATATTTCTATTTCTCAAGGGGATAAACTTCCAGAAAATGTTTCTTTAAAAAACAGGACGTCAAAGTTTTACCCTCTTAGATGGGGACTTATGGCAAGCAAAACAAACATAAATCAAAAAATCAAGAGAAAACGAGAAATCTCTTTACTTCCAGAGGGACACCAAAATTTTCATAAGCCATTGCAAACAACGAGTTTGCGCTTGCAATTACTCTCCTTTGTCCTCCACCCCAAATGAACTAAGTGGCATCCTAAAACGATTTACGAGGGGTTGCACATCGAAACTAACAAACTTTCTGTCCTGGACATGCATGTTTCCCAAATTTTCTCTTCTCCTTCTTTGATAGTTGGCATCACCAAACAGTTTTCTTTTCACCAGACTGAAACATGGGTGGGCTGAACTACTGTTGTTTCTGGTATATCATTATGCAACCTTTTCGCGGGTAGAAAAACATTATGGTAAAACTGAGTTTGCTATTGTGGGGAGGGTCCCCCGCGGCAGGGAGTTTCCTGCCCAATATTAAGCAAAGAGATAAAAAACACTCATTTTCCACGTGAAAAAAAAGGTTTTCCTCAGGGGATACCGCGATAGGGAAATTGTTGAATTTGGGAACTGCTCCTTTTGAGTAACTCAGCCTCAAAAACTGAAAAAAAGTTTTACATGGATGTTTTTTACACCCTTGTTCAGCTCAACTATTTCTTTTGTGAAAGCCAGAAAAAAATTTGACCTTTCATTTGGAAAACTCCAGAAACATATTAAGATAAACAAAAAAAATGGAATCCTTACTTGCTGGTCTGTCCTACAATTTTTCATTATCCTCCTACCATAGGGACTGAATAATTGCTACAACCAAATCATACAAAGAGGAAAATTTCAAATTAAATTTAAAGGAAACCAACCCTGGAAGGAAAAAAAAAGTACAAAGAAAGATAAATTAATTATAATAGGGAAACGGGGAAATTTCCTTCTTCAGAGAATCTCAATACAGGACAAGGGAATCCTAGTTATGTCCTTAACATCATTCTAAGTACGAGGACTCCAGAGAAAAAATCCATTGTGAGCTTAGGATTACTTCTAATCCCTTGTGCATAATATAAACGGGAACTCGAATACTAACAATAGAGACTAGCATTAAATACTAAGATTAGACACTCACATTATTTCGAGCTGCCTACTGTTCTCAACAGTGCCCTCGCATTTGCTGTACCCTGTTGCATTTGGAGGTTCACTTTCATTAACTATCACATCACTTTCAG